GCTCCCTTTGTCTCCAGGTTTTTCTGCTAGTCTACACCCCTTAATCTTACTTAGACAATGCATTCATCTTCCTGCTCAAATGGTCAAGTGTTTTCAAACACTCCTTTTTCCTGTCAGATATAAATTCCTCTCAAGGCCCTCCCCCACATTGCTGGTACACAGGTTAGTAGGCTCCTCTCTGTCTCACGCATTTCCAGGGCTCATTTTCATCTCCCATGCCTTCATTACTATCCTTCTACTACTCAGATCTTGACTATGCCTCGTTCAAGTTCTGCTTCCTCATAAAACTCCTCTGACCACTTTTGGTTTTCTTAAAATCAAGGTAGATCTTATCTTAATCTTTCTGGAATACCCATGTCCTAGATAACGCATGGTTCATGCCTGTTCTCTTTTTCAGGTTTCTGCTCAAATATCACTTTATCTGTTCAGCCTTCTCATGAGCACCCTATTTAAAATGACAATACCCAGGGCACCTGGGTGACTCAGTTGGTTAAGCATCTGACTTTTGATTTCAGCTCAGGTCTTGATCTTGGGGTTGTTGACTTCCAGCCCCGCACTGGGCTCCACACTGGGTGTGAAGCCTACTTAAAAAACAAAAAATAAGTAAAAGTGAATAAATAAAATGACAGCACCCCTTCATCCAGGCACTCCCAAATCTCTTTGCCTAATTTATTTTTATTTTTCTTAATAGCATTCATCACTGTCTTGCATATTCTGTATTTACTTGTTCGTTTGCTTGTCAGTGTCTCCTTGCCCAGAATGTAAAGTCCATGAGAGCAGGGAATTCTGTATGTTTAGTTACAGGTTTATCTCCAGAACCAAAAATATTGCCTAGCACATAGTAGATGCTCAATAAATCCTAGCTCAATGACTGAATATTCTTCTTTTTATAATTCAAAGGTCATAGCATGTTCCATATTATATTCCTTAACATTTAATTATAGTTTAATTTATTTTTAAATATTTATTTATATTTTAAAGGTTCTCCATTTATTTATTTATTTGAGAGAGAGAGGACCAGCGAGAAAGAGTGTGCATGCAGGGGGAGGGGCAGAGGGAGAAGTAGACACGGCGCTGAACAGGGAGCCCAGATACAGGGCTCAATTCCAGGACCCCAAGATCATGACCTGAGTCAAAGGCAGCTGCTTAACCGGCTGAGCCACCCAGTGCCCCTAATTCTAGTTAATTTAGAAGTGTGAATTTTTGTCTCTTTCAGTGTATTTCCAAGACAGATATAAATAGATAATTTCTGGTATCCTTTTATATTTTCTTCTCCTTCACCAATGCATTTTTTCTTTAAATATTCACTAAATATATGGAGTGCCCACTGTATGTCATTATATGCCACGTCCTTTTCTTTCAGCAAAAAAAAAAAAAAAACCCTCAGGAACGCAGAGTTACGCATAAATACACAAATAGATATAGAAGCAAGAAACAAGACTGAAAGAAAGAATAGTAAAAGACTAGTACAACCAAGAATCCAATATTAGTATGTGGGGACAAAGTGTACAGGGTGAGTGACAGACTGAGTAGGAAGAAAAAGGAAAAAAGAGACAGAATGATAAGAGACTAGAGTAGGATGTTGCCAAAGTAATCACCAGATGCCAGTGCTTAATATAAACTGTACTTAAGCAGATATGCAAATACATTCTACATGAATTTTTGAAATTCACATTTCAAAAATTATCTGCAGATTAGCCTGCGGGTAGAAATTAGATTAAGACTAGCGACATCTGGTGGATATTTTGGAAATAACTCTTGAATTTCTCTACCGTATAAACACTACACAAGCCCCCATGCCTCTGGACTGCCATTCATAATAGGTTAGGGCTCCACATTGCTAACTACACTATCATGAAATAATCTTTCTGCAGGACCTAAGACTTCACAGCAAGAGGTAGCCAGATTTCTACCAAGAACCCTTCTATCTCTCAGCTGTTGACCCTCTGTCTTCAGGGAGATATATATATGTATATAATTTAATATATATATATATATATATATATATATATATATATATATATAATCTGACACCAGGATTCTTCCTTTAAAAGTTAAGTTATTACCTAAAATGTTCATGTCCTTTGACCTTTGACCTAGGGATGCTACTTCTGGAACCCAACCCAAAGGGAAAAAAAAGTCTTAAATGAGGAAGTCAATTTATCACGGGGGAGGGAAACCTAAAAGTCTAACAAACAGAAAAATGTTCAAGAAAATTAGAACCGTTATAATGTTTACCAAACATTTGTAACCACATGAAAACAAACATTTTTTAAAGATTTATTTATTATTTATTAGAGAGAAAAAAAAAAAGAGCATAAGCAGGGAGAGGGAGAGAAGCAGACTCCCTGCTGAGCATATAGCCCCGATGCAGAGCTCATGCTCTGAGATCATGATCTGAGTCAAAATCAAGAGTTGGGGGGATCCCTGGGTGGCGCAGCGGTTTGGCGCCTGCCTTTGGCCCAGGGCGCGATCCTGGAGACCCGGGATCGAATCTCACATCGGGTTCCCGGTGCATGGAGCCTGCTTCTCCATCTGCCTGTGTCTCTGCCTCTCTCTCCTTCTCTCTCTGTGACTGTCATAAATAAATAAAAAAAAAAAATTCAAAATCAAGAGTTGGATACTTCATAGCTGAGCCACCCAAGGACCCTTTGACTCTTGCTTTTCTTAATGTTTGTAAATATTAAATTTAACTGTTCAAATGTTTGTTTTAGGGGTGCCTAGGTGGCTTAGTTGGATTAAGCATCCATCTCTTGATTTTGGCTCAGGTCATGATCTCTGGATCATAAGATCAAGCCCCACGTGGGGCTCCATGGTCAGCAGAGAGTCTCCCTGTCCCTTTCCCTCTCTGTCTGCCCCTCCCCCATTTGTGCAAGGGATCTCTCTCCGTGGGGGGAAGACTAGAAGAAAATACTACATTCTAAAATAATAACAGTGATTGCTTCTGGAAGGGAGCATATGGTTTTTTAAAATAATGGTTTACAATATTTCCCAAATGCTCTATAATTAACATGCATTATTTCTATAACAATTATTATTTAAATCTTTTAAACAGCATATATTCTGATTAATTGCTATAATTTTTCAACATCTCCCTGATTTTAATAATGAATCAAAGCAGCTAGCATTTCCACTAAAAGGGGAAGCAAGAAAAGAAAGCAAATATATGACAGTTTTGTTCCAGGATCTGAGTCCTGATGGAGAAATCCCCAGTTGTGGAAATGTCCTAAAATTCCATTAATGTCATTACACTTCTTTTAACAGTATACCAGAAACTTACAGAGGGCTCTGCTGGCAGCAAGGTGTTACAGAGTCTCCTAACCACTTGAGTCCCCATCTTCAGAGTCCCTAGAAAAGCCGGATCACAGCCACCTTAAAATAGGAAGAGGGAGAATGTACAAAAATTCAGGACAGGAAAAAGGTTCCCAAGCTAAACCAACCTAGTAGGGTCAGGACCCTGCCTCAAATCTACCAATTTATGTCATCTAGAAGTTTCAGAAATGGGACCCCAGTTGGTGGGGAAATCCAGCCAAAGATAATGTAATCACAACAGAACTGTCCTAATGATATTTTAAAAACTAGCCACTTACACTGAATAGTAATGAAGTGAAGAGCAATGCTTCCCTATCAGTCACCAAGGATGCATTTTTCCCTTCTCCCTAAGATTATCAGTTAATGACCACAGTTAAGAATTCTGAAGACAATCAAGACAAATACTGGGAGCTCTGCTTCTGGCATGCACTTCTATTCATCCTCAGGAATTCCATTTTAACCTAGAAAGTCTGCGTTTATATATCAAGGCAGAAATGTTGACATAGCACTTTCAAGTTTACAAGTGTTATCACCTGCATCATCTTATTTGACCGTCATAGTAAATAACTGTTGGAAATCAAGTTCTTGCTATGACGCTCCAGCTAGTAGTGAACCCGCGAGGAAGTCGCTCTGCCAATTTGTGGCGGAGGAAGTTTTCTAGTCACTTCTTTCGAATCCACCCTGTGCCAGAGAACAGGCCGGGAAAATGATGATAATGCTGATAATGGCAGCGACATTGGACTACACGCCATGTACTGTTCCAAGTGTTTTAAATACTCACAAACCTTCTATGAGGTCGATACTATTACCACCAACTATTTTGTGCCATGATTCCATTTTCGGTACTATGTCGGTCTTAAAGAATCATCGCTCTCAGGGATACATCGAGGGGCATCGGTATTTGGGGAGGATGGCATACAGGCTGAAGGGGTGGGTACACGCCCTTAAATTCGTCTCCAAGCTCCGAGAAAGTCTGATTCAGGAACTGCACCCTAAGAACCTGAAAGACTCAGAGCCGGCTCAGAACCTGAAACTTCCGCCTCCTTTCTAGCCGCCCCCCCCCCCATTTTAACCCCTCCGAGGGTACCTACTTCTGATCTGGACGCTCGACCAGGAGTAATTCTATTTCCCAGGCATGCCCCCCCCTCACCTCACCCCCCTCCCCCACTTCTCAGCACCTACTTCTTAAATCATCCGTGCGTCTGGTTCAGCATCTCGGTCCCCAGCGCTTCTGAGCACGGCCTCCTCGGGCTACAGCATCGCGGCTGCGTCCCCGCTGCCATGGTGACGCGGAGGCCGGCTCGGCCTGGCCCCGCCCACCTCCAGCCGACGCGAGCCAGACCCTGCCCACCGGGGCCCCGCCCCTTCTCGGCCGGCCCCGCCTCCTAACGGCCCGGACCGCAGGCTCTGCCGCCTTGGCCCCGCCCCCTGGCTTCCTGACCCGCCCCCTGCGGACCGAGCCCGCTCCGCCCCCTGAATGCCCGGACTGGCCTCGGGAGCTCAGCCTCAGGCAAAGATGGGAACCCGCCTCTTGGACGTCCTAACCACACCCGTGCTCCGCCCCAGCCAAGGCCTGGGGGTTCCCGCGCGAAGCGTCCGAATTTCCCCGCTGCCCTTAGGCTGAGCGAGTCCTGCTTTACTTACGTAAAGCCCGCAGCCCCCCACCCGGGAAAACGCCACCAGGGATATTCCTTTTGTGATTTATTGATCCTAGCGGCTCTGCACCTGCAAGCCAAGGGGAGTTTCCAGGTCATGCAGTTCTGTCAAATGACTTGAAGTCCTTGTCACCGATGGTCAGAGATCGCTTCCTCCACGCCTCAGTCCCTGCCCTCGTTTGTCTGTTTAGGTTCTGGGACCTTTGACCCCACCACCGAAGGAATTGCCCAAGCCAGCTCTGGGGGGGGGGGGGGGGCTGTGTACAAGAACTGAGAATGTTTTTCCAGAGCACCTCTTCTTCTTAAGCTTTGGAGTATAAGGTGTGTAAAAGAGACACCGTTAAATTAAGCCCAACAAAATCAGCTCAAGTGCTGGGGTAACCTGGCCTGTCAGCACTTTTCTTGAAAGCAGGAGCAAAGGTAGAGGTCAAAACACTTCCTTCAGGCTCATCCTAGCCCCCTCATTTTGTGGAGCTCCAGCCACACCTAGCTAACCCAAATACAACTCCAAGCTAACGGTGGCAAATAAAAGATAGGCCTAGGGGAGGGGGCAAGACTGGTGGCATTCATGGGGCTCTGGAGTTCTTTAAAACGTGGCAGGCATCTCTGGGCTGCCAACCAATTCCCCAAGGCAGATTCTCCCCTAAGGGAGTAGTGGTAAAATGATGGAAACAGGTGCGTCCTCCCCAGGGCTCACACCAGGGTCCCATTCTTGCTGTCATAGCGGGGTGTGGCCTGTGGGAAGCGGAGGATTGCGTACTCCGTTGCATTTTCTGACTGGAGGTGTTTCACCTGCCGAGCAGAGCGAGGCTGGGTACAGCTGCACACTTGAATGTCTGCATAATGTAAGCTGCTCTCCTTGGACCTGAGGCCTGGACTCTTCTCCTGAGATCTGGGCTTCTCTAACACCTGCTCATACGTATGTCCTCTTGTGTTATGGACCTGCAAGAAATGGACAGCATGAAGGGAGATTCTTGGCTTGCTTTTGCCCCTCACCTACAAAGCAAGGTCAGTGATTCTGATGTCCCCTCGCCTTGCTCCTCTGTGGTACAGAACCAGCAAGTTCTGGTTCCAGATAATGGAGATGTGTCGCAGGGTGAAAATGCTGAGTTCTCAGATCCCATGTCAGAACAGCCCCCTGGAAGGGACAGAGGCCGGTCATTACCTTTGCACTGTGCTTGTGCCTGTGCTGCTGCTGCTGCTGCTGCTGCTGCTGCTGCTGTTGCTGCTTCAGTGTCTGTCTTGCTTGGCTTCCTGAGAGAAAGAAATCCAACTTAAATTCAGTCTCTCTTCTCTGTCTCTGCTGAGATTGCCTTCTTGGAATCTCTGTTTGAGTATTATGGTGGGCTTCTAACTAATCTCCCTGCCCCTGTTCTCACCTCTTTGACTGGTGACATTCTCACATCCAAACTCCTTTCATTCTCTGCCCACAATATCTTCCATCCTCATTTTTCACTGGCCCCTAACACAGTACAATGTTGAGAGCCCATTATATGGCAGGCTGTGTGCCATGTTCTGGGGATAAAAGGATGAGCAGGCTATTTTCTCTGCCTTGGGGAGCTTACAGTCTACTAGGGGAGACAAATAAGTATACAGACTATTGGGATCCTGGGTGGTGCAGCGGTTTGGCGCCTGCCTTTGGCCCAGGGCGCGATCCTGGAGACCCGGGATCAAATCCCACGTCGGGCTCCCGGTGCATGGAGCCTGCTTCTCCCTCTGCCTGTGTCTCTGCCTCTCTCTCTCTCTCTCTGTATGACTATCATAAATAAATAATAAAAATTTTTTTAAAAAAGTATACAGACTATTAAAGTACAATGTGCTAAGTGTTCAGCCATACCACACAATCGGTCACTTTCAAGGAAGGGTTAACTTCCTTTTCTTTCTTTCTTCCCCCTTCTTACTCTTTCCTTCCTTCCTTCCTTCCTTCCTTCCTTCCTTCCTTCCTTCCTTCCTTCCTTCCTTCCTTGTATATGAGATAATTCCACTGCCTAAAATACCCTTTCTTCTCTGTTTTCCTCTTCCAGCTTGAGAACTTGCTATTATTCCTTCAACATTGGTGTTTTCTCCCATTCTCCCGCACTCTCACTCTCCTATGAATGTGAATCTATTATAGCACTAGTAGATTGCATTGCAGTTACTTGTTTATGTGTAAACAATTCTCTCAAATTTGATTTTGAGCTCTTTGTGTCCTTATGCCTCTCTGCCTCCTTGGGACCCAGCACAGCGCCTCGCATACACTATCAGTGCTCAATTAATTTTTGCTGGGTGAATGAAAGAATGAGCATCCAACCTTGCCACTCTGAGATGATGGAAAGGATAAGACCCAGAGACTCAGAGCTGGTCTTGAACCCTGGAAGATTTTCTCAGGTGTAGTATCTCCCTTTATCTCTTCTAAGGCTTCTCCTCTTTTTCATCCTTTTGCCTTTTCCGAAGACACAGGTTCTAGCAACTTCTCTAATTGGACCACTTCAAGCCCCCACCCCCAACATCCAGTTACCTGTTTTCTTTTTCCTCTGGGCAATTGATGGGCAGTTCCTGTAAAAAGAAACACAGATCACCCACGTGTAAGGGACCTGGTCTCCATCTTCCCACCTTCACCATTTGTTCTGTGGCCTCCTGAACGTTTTGGGATGACCTTCCCTCACTTCCTTCTAACAAAGCTTCACCCTAAGCCAGCCTAGGCATTTATCGATGGTACCGTATCTCTCCCACAGGATGGTTCTGGAAGGTGAAGTGGTACAACTGACATAACTAAACCCAAAATACAGCCTCAGGCAACTAGGCACAACATGCCAGGGATATAGCTGTGTTGAGGGCTATTCTGGGATTGTCTAGCAGGCTAATCCCAGCAGAGGGTAAGGGAAACCTGCCAAATAATGGAATATTCCTGCATTCAGAGACCCTCTTGCTGCTGCTTCAGTGCTTCTTTTTTCAGGGTCTCTGCTAACATGGGATTCTCATCTGGGAGTCACAGGAGCTGCCACAACCAGGGCTTACTGGTTAGGACTCCTCAAAGCCCTTTTCTAACATGTGATCTCCCTTCCTGCTTCTCTGTCCTTGTTTTTAATTAACAGAGAAAGTGAGAGATATTTAACCTTTAACATCCACAGCACAGGGAGCTCTGAATTTGGTGAGTGACTCAGCTGCCTTGCCCTTGTTGCAGGACAGACTTCATTTCTGAGCTGTAGGACAGACTCATTTCTGAGCCCCTGGGGTCCCTGGTGGAGCCACTGTGTCTACGTGACTGTCAACTGTTTGATGGCCAGAGAAAAACACTTGTCTGAGGAAATAGGCTGAATAGTTTGGGGCTTACTCCGGATGCTTTTTCTTGCTAGTACATTTCCAACTCTCTCCAGAGCCAGCCCTATCTGTCTGATTTTTGTCCCCCTAAGGAAATTTCCTTCTTTTGCTAGCTAAAAAGAAAGAGGGAGGGAGGGAAACTTCTAGATCATGTCCTTTTTCCTCCTGTGGAAAAAATTAGGATTTTCCCGCATATATTTGTTTGTGTTTTGGTTTGACTTTTGGTTTTAATGCAGCTTGTTAAGTTGAGAGCAAATAGAATCACCATCTGAACTTTACACGTGGTTCAGGAGGAAAAGCTTTGAAACCACTTCTAGGTGTTTCTACCTCTGCCACTTTAGCTCTTCCTTTTCTTTTTTTTTTTTCTTTAAAGATTTTATTTATTCATGAGAGACACACACAGAGAGAGAGAGAGAGAGAGAGAGAGAGAGAGAGAGAGAGGCAGAGACACAGGCAGAAGGAGAAGCAGGCTCCATGCAGGAAGCCTGATGTGGGACTCGATCCCGGGTCTCCAGGATCACACCCTGGGCTGAAGGCGGCGCTAAACCACTGAGCCACCAGGGCTGCCCTAGCTCTTCCTTTTCTTAAAAAAAAAATTTTTTTTTTTACCTCTGTCTATTCATAGCCTTATCCTAGCCTCTAATTCCTTGCCCTTGTGGAGACTGTTCTCCTACTTACTTCTACTTAAATGGATAAAGAGAATATAAATTCTAAAGTAACAGATTTGGGCGACCAATTTTAGTGAATGGAACCTTTCCCAAGCTGGATACTATATAGTGCCGGGACACAACCTAAATGGAATATTCAGTAAGACTAATAGCTGATGGAATTTTATTTTTAGCTCAGAATTCAGGAAGCTAAATAGGCACTCTCCTATATTGGCAGTATGAATAAAAACTGGCTCAATTTTCCTGCACGGCAATTGATAAGAAGTATGAGGAGGCTTAAACATAAAGTGTGTACCCTCTGCTATAGCAGTTCCATATCCTAAGAAATAATCAGGTGCAAATATGGATGCTCATTGTAGCATTGTTTACAAGGGAATGGATATATAGGATATTTCTGACTGGAAATATTCCCAATGTTGGACATATTTTTTTGCAATTTGCAAAAAATAGTAAATATCCTATATGTCTAACATTGGGAATTGACTAAATAAATGGCATCTCCAATAAATGGACCATTATACATCTGTTTAAGAAACATGTTGGAAGAACATCTAATAGCATGGAAAAGCTTATTCTTTAAGTTAACAAAAAGATAATAAGGCATGTTTTGGGATAAAAGCTATGCATGTAAGCATTTCAAAAGGATTACATGGAAGTGACCTTTCCGAGTCATTGGCTGTGCAGGTTGGGACAGTCTGAGCCAGGGATTCTGTGCTGAGATGCTTCAAAGCCTTGTTAAAAATGTTTGGATCCCTCATAGAGGCCTATAATACCCAAATTTACCAGGAGATTTGGGTAGGAATGGGATTGATGGACTTCACCGTTTATAAAATCAGGATTGCTGATAAAAGAAGTAAAACTATGAAAGCTTTGAGTCCTGCACCTGCTCATGGTCATCATTATCCAGTTTTACTTGGAGTACAAATCAGATAGAACTTCAGTCTGGCTGTAAATCTCAGCAAGCTCTGTTAGATGGGAACATGAAGCATTGCTGTACACTTGTAGATGTGTTGTTTCCTTTGTGGCATGAATAAATGTAACTGTGAAGTGCGCCAAAAAAAAAAAAAGGATTACATGGAAATATACTAAAATGTTCATGCCATTTATGGTTGCTATAAATATATTTAGATTATTTATGGTTGCTTCCTATTTTCTGCTCTTTGGTATTTTCCAAATTTTCTTCAGTGAATGTGTGTTACTTTTATAATCAGAAAATAATAATAATGATGATGATATTTTAAAATAAAAATCTTTTTAATCATCATACTGTCTTAAAGTCTCTAAGTTTATTGAGATAGTAAGAATCAGAGGAGAACAATATTTATCCAGTCCTATTAATACTTTAAATTTTTTTAAATTTATTTATTTGGGGAAGAGAGAGAGTGAGTAGGAGGGAGAGGGAGAGAGAATCTGAAGCAGACTACCTGCAGAGTGCAGAGACTGATGCGTGATTCAGTTCCATGAGCCTGAAATCCTAACTCGAGCAAAAACCAAGAGTCAGACACTTAACTGACTGAGTTACTTAGGCGCCTCTGGTCCTAATAATATCTTAAGAGGAAAAAAATATGTTTTGGTTGGAATATCCAGGGTAGTGTTTCTAACCAGGCCCTAGAGTCAAAGTGATGGTATCAGACTAGCCGTGTGATATTCAGCAAGTTTTTAGCTTCATCAGGCTTTCATTTTTTATTAACAAAATGAGGATAATAATAGAAGCTAAATCCCATGGACTTTTGGAAGAATTACATAAAAAAAAATGTAAAATACAGGTACCTGACATATAAGGAACATCAGTAAAAGCTGACTGCTATGATTAGCACCATCAGAGAAAGAATTAACCAAAAATGAAGACTGTGAAAACTTGGCACAAAGGAAGCAAAAGAAGCTGTGACACCCTTTCTGTAGAAATGCTTAGATGCCTGGGCACTTAAGTGGTTCAGTTGGTCGGTTGAGCATTGGACTCTTGATTTTGGCTCAGGCCATGATCTTAGGGTCATAGAGTCATGCCCCGCGTTGGGCTCCCTGCCCAGTATGGAGTCGGCTTCCCCTCTGCTCCTCACCCCGAATACAATATCCCTCTCTCTCTCAAATAAATGAATCTTTGGGGAAAAAATATTTTAGAAGACCCTAAATGTCCTATGTCTATGGGACATCTCAGAGTTTAAAAAGTGCACCCCTCCACCCCCACCAATCTTGATTAGCTTCTGAGAAACTCATTATCATTTCTAATTTACAGATAGGCCAAGTGAGGCCCTAGAACTTTGGTTTCTTTCTTTCTTTTTTTTTTAAAGATTTTATTTATTTATTCATGAAAGACAGAGTGAGAGGCAGAGACATAGGCAGAGGGAGAAGAAGGCTCCATACAAAGAGCCCGATGTGGGACACGATCCCAAGACCCCAGGATCACACCCTGAGCCAAGGGCAGAGGCTCAACCGCTGAGCCACCCAAGCGTCCGTAGAACTTTGGTTTCTTACGCAAGAAGGCAGGGGCCAAATTACCTATTATTACCACATCCTCTGCATCTGTCATTATATCTGGTACATATAGGCATTCAATAAAAATGTTTGTTTGAACGAGTAGTAAGAACAGGACTGGAACCCAATGTACTGATTCCAAATTACATGTAGCTTTTCAAAGGACCTTATCTATTTCTCTAAATATGATGATGATTTTTTTCACAACCAAGACCTCCTCAAGACTGACCCAGGCATGGAAGATATAGCCAAGAAAACAGTAAACAAGATAAAACTAGGTCTGGGGATTTAGAGTGATTATATCTCTGGGAAAAAGCAGTAAAGACACTACAAATAATTTATTGTGAGGCTTTCACATATCCTCTGCTCTTCAAACCTATAATCTAAACAACATAGGTCGTGTTAGCTATATTGTCTACCTGAGGACAAAGAGAAGTTACAGGACTCGCCTAAGGTCACACACAGCAAGGAAGTGTGAAAGCTCTAATCAAACATTCCATGAATATTCTCCTCTCTACTTCATCTCTTTTAAATAACATGTCTTCAAAGCTGCTTTGCTTGATGTGGGAGGCAATATTATGCACAGGTAGAAAGTATGGGGTCTGAAGTCAGACAGGCCTGGGTTGGAATGTCGGTTTATTTGCTCACTAGCCATGTGACCTGGGAGAAATTAACTTCTCTGAGCCTCAGCTTCTCAGCTGTAAAAACAGGAGTAAGGCCACCTCCCTCATACTATTGTTGGAAAGAGTAAAGGAGATTGCTTGAAAAGTGCCTAGAGCCTGATAGCTCTCGAACATTATAATTATGATGATCATCGAGGGAAGAAGGGAAGGGAGCAAAAGGAAAGGAGAAGAAGAGGAAGACAAGGAGAAACCAGGCCAATTCACCATTCCAGTCCTGCTCTGGTCACGCGGCAGTCAGCATGTTTGGCTATATTTTCTGAGGCTTTCTGAAAGGAGTCAACACAGAAAGAGGTAATGCTCTGGTGTTGGCACCTGGAGGTGTGCCAGGCAGAGGGAGGTGGCAATGGGAGGTTGGTAGAGAACTATCTGTAGGCTTTCTCTTATTCTCTGGGCCTCCACGTCCACCAACAGAGCCATTACCCTCCCCCACTCTGCCCCTACTCACCAGCATCCCCGGCAGCAGAGCTGGTTTCCCATGGTGCTCTGTCTCGGAGGGAGCCCAGCTGTTTTTCTACATAGAGGGTTGTGGATTTCCTGGTTCCTGGTTTAGCTTTCAACAGCAGTTCCCAGGGAGTCTCTGTCAGTGTCAGATTTCAACCTAGCCGGTTGGACTTTGGAAGCCACCTGCTGGAGTGATTCCCAGGTGACTGTTTCCAGCCAAGGGGTAGAGGAACACACATGGGCTCCAGGTGAGAGCTATCTCACCTTTGGGATTTGGAGCTGCTTTGATGAAGCCATGAATGTTGAGCTTCAAGCTTCAGTGAAAAGAAACCTGAGATAGGAAGGGGCTCTGGGTTTCCTTAGGAAATGTTTCTCTACCACCTTAAACTATCATTGAAATATAGCCTCTATAATGGAGTGCAGACTCTTACCATATGTTTCCCCAGCACTACTCAGATTTAATGGAGTTTCACTTTCAAAGTAACCAGTATCAGTTTCTTATTGTCCCTGTCCAGAATCTGGGTTTGAGGGATCCCTGGGTGGCACAGCGGTTTGGCGCCTGCCTTTGGCCCAGGGCGCGATCCTGGAGACCCGGGATCGAATCCCACGTCCGGCTCCCGGTGCATGGAGCCTGCTTCTCCCTCTGCCTGTGTCTCTGCCTCTCTCTCTCTCTGTGACTATCATAAATAAATAAATTAAAAAAAAAAAAAGAATCTGGGTTTGAATACTGGAGTCTCCTGGAAACTTAAATTTAGAGAAATTGATTCCTTTTATATGCTCCCTTGCTTTTGGAATTAATGTGGGCAGGTCACTTTTTCTACTTGGGTGAAAAGAGAGGACTAGACTCATTACCTAATCCCCTTTGTGGTAAAAAATCATATGGTTCTAGGATTGGCATGGCGTCAGCACTTCCTGATCACTTACTTCCTCATCCCAGTACAGAACTACAGAAGCTCCACTTCCAACTCAATTCAGCTTCTCCTTCCAATGCCAATGTTATATTCATTCTACTCTCACCAGCAAGTAGGATGCAGTTGAGCAAATTCCTCTGTAGACAATATGGGCTCTGGGAAAATTTGTGAGCTTTTCTTCAATGCTCCCAACCCATCTTGCTCAGATGTCCGGTTATCTGTGTGCCCCTGCTGGGTGCTCAGGACCCATAGCTCAGCCCTGGGGTCCATAGGGAGTGGCCTGCACACTCCCTTCCTCCCCATATTTTTCCCTTAAGAGAAATGGGAATAATGGGAGTGATAGTTTTATAGGATTTTGGTGAACATTAAATGAGATAAAGTAAATAAAGCTCTCGTCCACAGCCTGGCACATGGGAAGCTTTCATTAATTTCTAGCTATTGCTATTACTTCTTGTTCTCAGGTAATTGTCAGATGGCAAAGCATCTTACTTTATTATTTTGTGCTGGATCATTGCACTAGCGTCTTACTTCATGGCTGTGCTTCTCCCCGGTAATTCCTTCTGTATTCTAGTATTAACTGTATTCCTTTCACCCCAATACCCAAACTTCTTAGCCTGGCACTCAAAGCCCTCCAAAATCTTGTCTCTTTTCAGCCACTTTCTCTAATTTAAAGGGAGTTTTTAAATAAGATTTTATTTATCGAGAGAACAAGAGTGAGAGAAAGAGAACAAGAGTGGGGGGATGGAGGAGTGGAGGGAGAAGGAAGAGCAGACTCCTCACTGAGCAGGGAGCCCAACACAGGGCTCAATCCCAGGCCCCTGAGATGGTGACTTGAGCCAAAGGCAGCCGCTTAACTCACTCAGCCACCCAGCCTCAGGAAATGTAAAGGAAAATTTTAAAGGAAAACACCAAAGAGATTTTATGACCAGAAACTCCATAGGAAACCATAGTGTACTGTGGTATGATATACCTTAAGCAGCATTTATGGAATTCTAGAATGATAAATAAGGGTATCAATGATTCACGGAAGTCTGTTCCAGTGGGCCCATGACTGGAATAATAATTTTAGGTCTACATGTTGAATTTCAAGTTACATTGTCAAAAGCCAGTGTGTTCAAGAGAAAGTTGTCTAGGTAACAAGTGGTTTGGAAAGTCCTAGGGGCGCCTGGCTGGCTCAGTCTGAGGAGCGTGCAACTCTTGATCTTGGGGTTGTGAATCTTAGCCCCATGTTTGGTGTAGGTATTGCATAAACAAACAAACAAACAAATAAACAAACAAACTTTAAAAAAATGTCCTATAAGACATGGTTAAAAGAATTTGGTATATTTACTTGGGAAAGAGAAGCCTTTAGAGGACAGGATGATTATTTTAAAATATCTGTAAAGGACTCCTAAGTGAAAGAAGGATTGCATTTATTTTCTGGACATGACCAGACCAATGAGCAGAAGTTACTGAAATGAAGATTTGGGGTCAACAAAAGGAAGAATTTATGAGAAATACATCCAAAAAGTTCTGATGAAGAACTGCCAAAAAGAACTTACAAAGTTCTAAGTTCTCTTTCACTTAAAAAAGTCCCAAGAGGAAGTTGACTAATAGTTGTAAAAGAATTTCAGTGGTATGGGGATTTGGACTAAATCAGAGGTTTTGAGTTTTTTTTTTTCTAGCTAAGGAACCCCCTCTTTGAAATAAAACTAACATAATAATAATAATAATAATAATAATAATAATAATAACAGTTCCAAAATAGATCAATGGAAATCATTCTGGCTGAAGTCTGAATAAAGATCTCTTCTATTTCTTTTTCTTCTCAACTAGATGTAAGGTTCCTGAAAGTAGACAATAAAAGAGCATTTTTAAAAAAATATGTTTATAATGTACATCCACCACAGTGCCTTACTTGGGGGTTGAGAAACACTTGTCGAGTGAATAGATGAACAAATGAATGTGTCAATAGTTATTTCTCTGAGGTACGCTTTCATTTTGTTAAATGGTAACCAAGAATTGAATTATTTGAATGAGGGCTCTTATCTTGAGAATCCACAGATCCCTAAGAAGGGGTTATAGGAATGGATCTCAAGAGCTGTGTGAACTTGTTCAAATCGTAAGGCAAGCTTGAGTGTATTTTTATGGGAAGAGGACCATATGGCTTTTGCTAGATTTTTCAGCCGGGTCTGTAACCTTAAAAAGTTCAGAATCAACCACTTAAATGGAAGAACTTCAGGTGTCCACCACAACCTGGTAAAATATATATTTTGGGGCAAGGAGGTCTTCTGGACCCTTCTCAAATCAACACATGCACAAACTACAGAGAGTAACTGAGGAGCCAGATGCCCACACTTTTCGGAACACACCATGTCCCTAGTATTTAAGAGTCTGCTTCCAAAGGAAGATCCCCTGGCTGCCATCACCATATAAATAGCTCTAGTGCCCCTGCATTTAGTCTTGGACTAAGTGATTCCTCTCTTTGGGATGTTCCAAGATTAGAAACAGATGCTTTCTCTCATGGACCCTGTGCACAGGTTGGAGACACTTGGTGGTTTGGTGACAATGGCAGAGGCGTCTGTGTCTGTGCCCTGTGTATGCATTCTCCACCGCTCAGGATCAGGGACCATTTTCAGTGGACAGATCTTACTCTGGGAAAACAGGGCTTTAGGCAACTCTCTCCAGCTAACACTGTTTTCCCAACCCCTACCCGAAACAGGCCAGACAGGCTGGAGACCCTTGTTTTTGTGTCTCTAATCACCAGCTCAGACAGTGCCCTCTGGGCTGTTTGGATGGCATATCCCTTTCCCCTCCCAGGATCACTCTCTCTTTTGTTGCATTGTGAGAAAATTACAGCTAGGAATTTGATCTGGAGCCAGTGTCAGCTTCCGGGTATGATCTCAGCATCCAAGTGTGAGCTCAGGGTGCTGTGACGTGGGGCACATCTAACGGAGGAGCTTTTGTCTCCCTGGCTATGGCCTCTTCCCTCCCTGCCCATCCCATCGTCCAGGCCACAGAACAGGGAGCAGCACAAACAAGGCCCTGAGATTTGGGTTTATTCAGCTCCACCCAGAACTAAACCAAAGGCTATGACATGTCTCAAGGGACCAAACCATACATTGTGGGCCATGCACTCTCCCCCTCCCCCCAAGGATGCGGCTACCTCTGGGGCGGTGGGCAGCTGCTCATACCACCGCGGGGGGTAGAAAGGGGTTCGCTGGGTGCTGGCTCAGTGACACTCAGGGCTCAACCCTGGTTGCCTCCTCCTCTTCGTCTGGATCGGGAGGTGCAGGGAGCAGGGAGATATAGACCTCATTGACCTCCGTGTCCAAATGTCGGCCACCCCGAGGTGCCTCCAGGTTAAGGATGCCATCGTGGGAGAGAGCCGCCCGGACCCGCCAGGGGTCCACATCGGCGGGCAAGACGTAGGTGCGGCAGAACTCCCGGGACACGAAGCCGTGGCGGTCCAGGCGCTGGGGGTGCCGGGCAGACACCTCCAGCAGGTTGTCCACAGTCCTTACGGTCACCTCGTCGGGCGTAAAGTGGCTCACGTCCAGAAACGCCTGGAACTTGCCGTCGCTGAGCCGAAGCTCAGACGCCCCTGCCCTGCTACCCTCGGCGGCGCGGGCGGCGCGGGGCCGGACATAGTAGCCATGGTAGAGGGTGGGGGTCAGGATCTCTTCGGGCAGGAGGCCTGAGGGGCAGGATGAGGCAGGATGAGCTGGGGAGGAGGCGTGAGGGCCAGGGAGGGCGGGGGGGGGGCAGGAGGGAGACAGGGGCCGAGATGGGGGTGCAGAGGGCAGGCCGGGCGGGGGCCGCGGGACAGAGGGGAGCACGGGCCCAGCCAGGGGGTCAGGGCCGGGCATCTGCCCCGAGGTCAGCAGGAAGGGGACCGAGCCCTGCTTGGGGGGGCGGGGGGGGGGTCCGGGTGGGAGACGGCTCGCCCCAGGAGTTCAGTTAAGCCGGGAGTGGGTGGAGGCCAGGACTGTCGGGAGGTCAGCCCGGAATCTCAGGAGGTGGGGGTGGGAGGCGGGGGGTGGCGTCTGCGCGGTACCTTCTCCGAAGCGCTGCTCGCCCAGGCGGCTGGGGTTGGCAAATTCGTACTCTGTGGTGGCCGGGTGGGCGTGGGGCACCGAGCGGCCCGACATGGCTGCGAGGCGTCGCGGCTCTGCTCCGAGCTGCAGCCCCAACAGAGCAGCGACCCTCCAGCTGCCGGGCGGGCCAGGGCTCGGTCCGAGGTGGGGGCGGGGTCTACACCACCCAAAATAGTGCGGAGCCCGGGGAGGGCTGGGGGAGGGGCGGGGGCCGGGCCCCGGAGCGCCAGCGACAAGTGTGTGACCCGCGCTGCCTGGACCCCCGCGCCCCCCCCCCCCGCACGCCCTGCAGCTGTCGCAGGCGGCCCGAGGGGACAGCTGGGGGTCCTGGCTGGGCAGCGAGCTGCGAGCTGCGAGCTGCGGCGGGAGGCCGGTCCCGAGGCCCTGGAGCGGCCTAGCTGCGACCCTCACCCTCACCCTCACCCTCACCCTCACCGTTGGCACACTTTCCACATTTCCTCCCTCTGTCCTCCTAAGCCCCAGGCACCCTACACCCGACTGCACAAAGCTGGCCTGGTTTTAACGTTCTGCGCGCCGTGTAAGGTGAAAGATGCAATAAACTTTCCCACCCTTTTTTGGGGTGGGGTGAAGGGTCTTCTGCCCAGACGAATGTCAGGGTCCTCTCCTGAACCAGGGTCAAGCCGGGGCGCCACAGAGATGCCTGGCGCTGACTTGCTGGTGATGGCTGCTCTCCTCCAGGGACCCAGAAAGAGTTAATGTCCCTGGGGCCCAGCCTAGGAAGATTCCAGTTCCTGCCCAGGCCCAAGATAGTCACTGGCCCAATTCCCCTGGCACGCTAGGCTGGAGAGGAGGAGGAGGGGCACACAGCCGCCTGCTTGGGATTCCTGACTCCCTCCCAACTCCAGAGAAGGGGGTGTGGGGGGGCACTACTGGGTGTGGACGGAAAGCTAGTGCAACAGGACCAGGACAAGTCACTGGCCAGCTCAGACGTGTTTGTATTTCTCTTTTCTTAGCTCAGTGAGTACTGGGTATGTGTCACACTGCCAAATCCCCGATCACAAGTCTCCATGAACGGGCGGTGAGCTGGGATAATAAAACTCCTGACATCACCATTCCAGAAGCTTCACAAGACTGCGTATATAAGGGGCTGGCTGTAGCTGCGGCTGAAGGAGCTGACCAGCCAGCTGACCCCCTCTCCACTCAACCTAGCCACCATGGACATCGCCATCCACCACCCCTGGATCCGCCGCCCCTTCTTTCCCTTCCACTCCCCCAGCCGCCTCTTTGACCAGTTCTTTGGAGAGCACCTGTTGGAGTCTGATCTCTTCCCAACTTCTACTTCCCTGAGCCCCTTCTACCTTCGGCCACCCTCATTCCTGCGGGCACCCAGCTGGATTGACACTGGGCTCTCAGAGGTAAGTCTCTGCCAGGAGAGGAGAGTTCTTCCTAGAACCTCCTGGAAACATATCTACCTGCTCTCCTTTTTATCTCTGCCTGAATATGGCTATGTCTAAGCATCTTAGGCACTTGTATGTCCACCAGTGTTTAAGAAAGACTAGGCTACTGGTTCTTTCCACCAGTTTACCTGTTTGTATTTGATGCTCCACTGTGTCCTACTTACTGCCTTTTCTCCACGGGCTGTGAAGATCGCCCTCTATCTCCTAACTTCTAAGTAGGATGCCCCTTTCTGGTTTGGTTCAGAAAGATCTACAGGGAAAGAGCTGCCTTCAGACTCCTTTGCTCGCCTCTTCTGATATCTCATACTCCTGACAAATGTTAGCATCTCAAGTTTCAGAGTCAGGAAACAGTCCTGCCTCATTCTGAGCTTTTCACTTCCACTGAATGGAGCTGAAGACAGCAAACACTGTTTACTTTCTTTCTATTCCTTCCTCTAAGATTTTCCAGGTTTCTCAGCACTGTGACAGGGCACTGACCTGTGTCCAAACCCGATAAGAACAGGGCATAAGTCCAGTCTTGGGACCCCCACTTGTCCTAAGAGGGTGGGAGAAAGGGGGTGAACAGATAAGCTTGACAGAGCTGTCACAGAGAACGCTCTGGTTTAAAAATAAATATTCAAATGTGAGTAAACAGGAGCTGAGTGAGCAAGGGCTTTGGAAGGACAATCAAGACCAGCAGAACATTCCAGATTGAGTGGGTGGGAAAATTGGCAGGGGCCTGAGTAAAAAGAAGGGGCCTTTGTCTCATAGACAAATGACAAGGCCAGGCATTGGGGTCAGAGAGCCAGCAGGAGCCGTGTCCAGATCCATCCTTGTGATTGCTCCCCTGGGTAGCCTGTCTTTCTTCCTGTCCCTGTACATGAAATTTGGGTCTGATGACCGTGAGGCATGCCTTGGGTACCACTCCAGTGGCTCCCCTGAACCAGAGAGCCATGTTTATTCAAAAAGGGATTTTTACCCAAAAACAGAAGGATGAACTACCTGGAGAGAAAGCGAGTCTGCAGAACGAAGAGACTGCACTGATGCAATCCACATTCCTACCATCTTTTCTCCTACCCTCTCCTCTCTTGCTATTTCTAGATGCGTCTGGAGAAGGACAGATTCTCTGTCAACCTGGATGTGAAGCACTTCTCCCCAGAGGAGCTCAAGGTCAAGGTGTTGGGAGATGTGATTGAGGTGCATGGCAAACATGAAGAGCGCCAGGTGTGTAGTGTGTTTTCTCTTCTGTTCATTCATCCACTGTGTGCTACATGCCAGACTCTACCGTCAGCCTCTGAGCCTGGCAACTGTCCAGTCTTAAGCCATGAGGGTCTGGGACCCGGACAGACCTATTTTTGTTTGGGCCAGAGAAGAGATCTTATTGTTTGTTTTGATATGATTGCCTTAGGTGGGATATATGGGATGTTTATTTCCCATTTAAGCCAGTGGTATTTGGCCACCTTAGAATCATTAGGGGAATGGAAAAGAAAAATCTCAGTGCTTAGACATATCCCAGACCAATTAAATCAAATTGTTTTAGATGTGGGCCCCAGGCATCAGCATTTCTAAAAGCTCCCTAGGTAATTCTAATAAACATTCAAAGTTGAGGACCACTGATTTAGGAATAGTGCTTGTCGGACACCAGGTTACTTTACATAATTAAATGAATTGCATGTATCCTGAAGACCTTTGACTTTGAGCCTTTCTTTTAGATGTTCCAGAATGCTCTCATCTTTAGCTCATCTAAAATGCTGAACTACTTGGGTTTGTCTAAGTTTCAGAGCTGCATTCAGCAGCTAGAACCCTGAAGCCCATGTGGAAATCAGTTCATTGATAGCCTGTCTGCATAAATGCTTGAGATTGAGCTGTATAAAGGTTGGGGTCAGGTAGTTTTTAGCAGAATTCTGGAGAATGAAATAGCTTCTCATTAATTTCTGGGAGGGTTTTTTTTTCTTTTTTTTTTTAAATTTATTTATGATAGTCACAGAGAGAGAGAGAGAGAGAGAGAGAGAGAGAGAGAGAGAGGCAGAGACACAGGCAGAGGGAGAAGCAGGCTCCATGCACCGGGAGCCCGACGTGGGATTCGATCTCGGGTTTCCAGGATCGCGCCCTGGGCCAAAGGCAGGCGCCAAACCGCTGCGCCACCCAGGGATCCCTCTGGGAGGGTTTTTAAAAGAGTCTGCTTCTTACCGATTATTGAGAACCCATATACTTGTGCATCAAACAGTATAGTTTGAGGTCCTTGGTCTGTTTCAGCTTTGTTTATGTGATTTAAGTTTGGGTCATAGTCTCCCTGGATGAAGTTTTATTGTTGTTGTTGTTTTAGCAGTGGTCCTGTTGGTCTGGGACATTCTGGGACATTCCTGAAGAGTCAGGATAATTTCTGGACTTCCTTAGGGACTCAGATCTTCAGTGCTGAATGATATTTCAGTAGGCTCAACACTGATATAAACCTTTGGGAAATACTCCTAAAGATATCTATGCTTCAGTTTGAAGAGCTGTGCAGTTTTCACTGTTTCAGATTTCTCAGACTCTCATTGGTTGGAGTGACCACTTAGGCAACTTTATTTTAGCCCCAAACAGAACAGTCATTTGGTTTTCTCTTGTTGCAGTGGTGTATGGTCACATGTCAGGGGAAGGAGAATGTCTGAGTTCTCAGCAAGTGGTGCCATTTCCTGTTCTTATCTCTCTCTTTCTTCTTTCTCTTGGATTAGGATGAACATGGTTTCATCTCCCGGGAGTTCCACAGGAAATACAGGATCCCAGCCGATGTGGATCCTCTTGCCATTACTTCATCCCTGTCATCTGATGGGGTCCTCACTGTGAATGGACCAAGGAAGCAGGCCTCAGGCCCTGAGCGCACCATTCCCATCACCCGTGAAGAGAAGCCTGCAGTCACTGCAGCCCCCAAGAAATAGATGCCCTTTCTCTAACTGCATTTTTTAAAACAAGAAAATTTCCCCACCAGTGAATGAAAATCTTGTGATTAGTGCTGAAGCTTATTAATGCTAAGGGCAGGCCCAAATTATTAAGCTAATAAAATACTATTCAGCAACAGATAACTGTCTTGTGTTTGAATATTCTGTATTTTTTAAAAATAAATGTAAAAATACAGCAGATCCATTTAATCACCACATTATGATTTAGGGGACTCTGGGGATATTAGGTCAGAATGGCTGTCTCTACTACTTACTAATAGTATAAATTTAGCAAGTCAACCTTTCTAGTCCTTAGGTATTACATTTGTAACACGTGGAGCTGATTTGTACACTTGTAAAGAGTAAATTCAGGAGGAAATGTAGGTAAAGCCCTTGTCAGAATTCAAGGAATATCAGTTCCTCTCTCTCCTCCTCTGATTTTGGCACTCATTTTCAACAACAAATCTGAAAGAACTCTGGATAAATATGCATAAAAGACCTTAGTGAGTCTCTGCAGTTAATCCTGTTGCCAGGCAGGAGGTGGTATGCCAAAAGTGATATTTTCCTACTGATAAGCAATGCCTTCAGCCAATTCGCAAGAGAAATGAATAGGATTTGAGTCACTATCACCAAAGAAGCCTTTCATTTGTAATATCCAAATTATTTATCAAATATCTTGGATCTAAGACTGGGAAGGGGTGCCTGGCTGCCTCAGTTGGTAGAGCATGCAATTCTTAATCTTGGACCCCTGAGTTTGACCCCCACATTGTATATAGAGCTTAATAAAAAAGTAAATTAAAATATTTTTAAAAAGGGATTCCTGGGTGGCTCAGCAGTTTGGCGCCTGCCTTCAGCCTAGGGTGTGATCCTGGAGACCTGGGATCCAGTCCTACGTCGGGCTCCCTGCATGGAGCCTGCTTCTGCCTGTGTCTCTGCCTCTCTCTGTGTGTCTCTCATGAATAAATAAATAAAATCTTAAAAAAATATATATTTAAAAAAAGAAAAAACAACGAAGACGGGAAGCATCCAGTAACCCTCCTCCTAAAAAAATTAAGTTTCAGAATTATTAATAATTGATAAATAAGTAATTCTGTTATTCAGCTTAAACAAAGACATATTACTCTACAAAAACACCCCCATCCCACTTGTGGGTTCAGACAAAACTTCTGACTCAACTAGTGAAAAATAGCTCTGGTATAGGTTATCTGGCATATTTGTTCACAGATACTATTTTTCTGTAGTAGCTTCTACCTAATTTCTGATTTCAAGGACTGACCACAAAGTAAAGTGAGATTCTTGCCTTCACAAAGCCTACAGATTGGGGATTGGCTATGCTTTTAAAATATTCTACATGAGGGACACTTGGGCGGCTCATTTGGTTAAGCATGTGATTCTTGACCTCAGCTCAGGTCTTAATCTCAGGGTTGTGAGTTGGAACCCCATGTTGGGCTCCACGGTGGGCATGGAGCCTACTTAAAAAAATAAAAATCAAATATTCTGTCTGAATTAGTTGCCAAAATTTTTCATGCTGTAGGAGTGTGGAGCTAGGACAATATAAATTGCAAATCTATACAGGTTCAAAATATTTTCTCCTACAACACAACTTTCTAACAGCCAGAAATGCTGTGATCTAGCCAGAAGTCAGATTTCTCTAAAAGTAACAGCTAATTTTTGTGGCTGTGTAACAGATACAGGTGGTTGCCTAACCAACCTATTTACCACCTTCGTCTTGCTAACAGCTATATTGATTGCTAACAGCTCCATAGATAGGTTGCCTAACCAACCTATTTACCACCTTCGTGTTGCTAACAGCTCCATATTCTAGCCATGTGCTTCAGGAAAGTGAACCAAGCTCCAGGCACAGGTGATCTATCTTGATTAGCCCAAACTAATCATGGAAATTCCCTTCCCTCTGTAATGATTAGTCTTGAAAGGGCCATGATCCAATTGTAGCTATTGAGACAGGGGCAAGTTTGCTGAAGATGCTTCCAGAAAAGGTTATTAGTTATTATTATTATTATTTAAGATTTATTTATTTGAGAGAGAGAGAGCGAGCTTGTGCGGGAGTGCAGAGTGGGGGGAGGGACAGACAGATGGAGAAAGAAAATCTCAAGCAGACTCCCTGCTGAGAGTGGACCCCCCCCCCCATGCAGGGCTCCATCTCACAACTCTGAGATCATGACCCTGAAGTAATGAGCCAAAATCAAGAGTTGGATACTTAATTGACTGAGCCACCTAGGCACCCTGGGTTTTAGTTTTTAAAAAAGATCCATCAAAAGGGGATCCCTGGGTGGCTCAGCAGTTTAGCACCTGCCTTTGGCCCAGGGCGTGATCCTGGAGTCCCAGGATTGAGACCCACGTCGGGGTCCCTGCATGGAACCTGCTTCTCCCTCTGCCTGTGTCTCTGCCTCTCTGTGTGTGTGTGTGTCTTTCATGAATAAATAAATAAATAAGATCCATCAAAAGAGAGAGAGAGGAGAAAGGTGGGAGAGCTTTTTTTCTTCCTCCTAATGTTGGAGCATGAGGGTGTGACACTCAGATTGCTATAGCCATCTTGAAACCTTGAGGGACCATCCAAGGATGGCTTGCCAAGGATGGCTGAGCAAGAAGGATGGTAGGACTCTAGGTCCTTGATGGATCACTGAATTGCTAAATTGGCCAACTCTAGGCCTTCCTTACTTCAGAATGTCTCATGTCTTGTTTTTGTTTAATCTATTTTGACAATGGCTTTATGTTATCGGAATACAAAAAAATCTTAACTGACAGAAGCTGAATTAAATAGTGTAAAAATCTGAAGCATGTCCTGGAAATCATATGTCAATTTTAATCATTTTAGTGAATTACCAGATTTCTCAAGCAGACATAATCCTAATGAGTTGGTCTTAAATCATACTTTGACTATTAGATTTTGATATTTATGTTTTTGACATAATTTGTTTGAATGTGTAGGCTCACTTTTTGGTGTATTTTTACTGAACTCAAGTTAGACTACATCTTTATTGTTATTGATTTCCAGGTCACATCTTTTGCTATGGCTGTTCATTGTCATTAGTGTAGAACTTTTCTAGTCCAGTATATTTAAGGACTTTTTTCAGCTTTATAGTTAGCTCATCCATAATTCTATATCTGAATTATGCCACGAGTTGGTTGGCAATTCTATCACTTATTTTGTTTTTTTAATATTAGCTAACATTTATTGAGCTAATATTACTGTGTGGTAGGCACTGTGCTAAGTGCTTTAATTTTTTTAAACTATCATTTTTTTTAATAGAATAATTCTAAGAAAGGCCCATAGTGAATATCACCCTCAATGGGGAAAAACAGAGCTTTTTTCTCTAAGGTCAGGAACATGTCAGGGATATCCACTCTCACTACTGTTGTTCAACATAGTACTGAAAATCCCAGGCTCAGCAATCAGACAACAAAAAAGAAATAAAAGGCGTCCAAACTGGCAAGGAAGAAGTCAAACTTTCACTCTTCATAGATGACATGATACTCTATGTAGAAAACTCAAAGACTCCACCAAAATATTGCTAGAACTGATACAGGCATTCAGCAAAGTCACAGATTATAAAATCAATGCACAGAAGTCTATTGTATTTCTATATACTAACAATGAAGCAGTAGAAAGAGAAATCAAGGAATCAGTCCCATTACAATTGCACCAAAAACCATAAGATACCTATGAATAAACCTAAACAAATAGATAAAAAATATGTAGTCTGAAAACTTTAGAATACTTATGAAAGGAATTGAGGAAGACACAAAGAAATGGAAAAACATTCCACACACACAGGTTGGAAGAATAAATATTGTTAAAATATCTATGGTACCCACATTTAATGCAATCCCTATCAAACTACTACCAGCAGGTTTCACAGAGCTGGAAAAAACAATCCTAGAATTTATATGGAATCAAAAAAGACCTCCAAATAGCCAAAGGAATGTTGAAGAAGAAAACCAAAGCAGGAGACATCACAATTCTGGACTTCAAGCTGTATTACAAAGCTGTAATCATCAAGACAGTATGGTACTGGCAAAAAAACAGACACATAGATCAGTGGAACAGAATACAAAACCCAGAAATGGACCCTTACCCTATGGTCAACTAATCTTGGACAAAGCAGGAAAGAATATCCATTGGAAAAAGACAATCTCTTCAAAAAGTGGTGTTGGGAAAATTGGAAAGCCACGTGGAGAAGAATGAAAACTGGACCATTTTCTTATACCATACACAAAAATTCATTCAAAATGGATGAAAGACCTAACTATGAGGCAGGAATCCATCAAAATCCTAGAGAACATAGGCAGCAACCTCTTCAGCCTCAGCCACAGCAACTTCTTGCTAAATATATCTCCAAAGCCAAGAGAAACAAAAGCAAAAATGAACTATTGGAACTTCATCAAGATAAAAAGCTTTTGTACAGCAAAGGAAAAAAAAGGACAAAACTAAAAGGCAACCTAAGGAATGGGAGAAGATACTTGCAAATGTCTTATCAGATAAACGGCTAGTATCCAAAATCTCTAAAGGTCCTATCAAACTCAACACCCAAAATCCAAAAAATCCAGTCAAGAAATGGGCAGAAGACATGAACAGACATTTCTCCAAAGAAGATATACAAGATATACAAATGGCTAACAGACACATAACATACAAACTAACAAACAAAAAACCCAGTCTGGAAATAGAGTGTTCTAAAGGAGCTACATCATTTCACATTTCCACTAGTAGTATATGAGGGTTCTGATTTTCCCATATTCTTACCAACACTTATTTTGTCATCTATCTTATTGATTATAGCCATCCTAGTGGGTGTCTAAAGTGAATTCTTATTGGTTTATGAGACTTAGCAAGTTGATGATATCATTGATTTATACAACTTAGCAAGGTGAAGAAGAAGGGGAATGCATCTAGGAAAAATGAACAGCATGAAGTCCTGATGTATTTAGGTTTGGTTGGGGGCACTAGATGCATGGGGAAGACAGTGTGAGAGATAAGGCAAGGGAGTTAGGAAGGGATTCTGCTAAGGACTTTGGAATTTATTTTGAGGGAAATAGAAGCCAATAAAGGATTTTAACCAAGGGAGTGTCATATCAACTTTGTCCTTTTAGGGGTTACTCTGGGAGCAATATAGTAATTGGTA